CCCTCTCTGCCTACGGTTTACCGGGCAGTTCTATTTGACGATATATATATATATATATACAGTTTGTCACAGCCCCTCGTTTGTTGTCCTCTTCTCTCTCTCTGCCTACGGTTTACCGGGCAGTTCTATTTGTGATGATATATATATATATATATATATATATATATATATATGCCTACGGTTTACCGGGCAGTTCTATTTGACGATATATATATATATTTTCAACTTTTGAGTCTTGACAACACTCACACAGTGTCACACAGTGTCACACACACACACACACACACACACACACACGCACACACACAATCAGTTTCATGCATGTCTGTCTTTCTCTTGTTGTTTGTTTTCTATTATTTTTTTCTAAGTTCTTTCGCCTATTTTTTCTAAGTACTTTCTGTGTGTTTGAGTGAGCACCCCCAACAAGTGCTAAATAGTAGGTGCTCCATTGTTTGGACAGCCTGCAGGACTCTTAGGAGAGCCGCTTTGTTTGTGATGTCTGTGTGGTGCATATAGTCTAGAATGGGTAATGACAGACGTCCGTTGCAGTGATTCCCTGGCTCAGCAGGTGGTGGGAACCAACAGTCTGCGGGTTTAACTCGTGATTTGAGTAGGTGATGTGCCGCTTTGCTCTGTGCTGGATGTGTAGACTGCCTTGTCTGCTCTCCGCCCCTTGCTGCCTGTCCCGCTTGCGCCGCATGTAGCTTGTTGCAAGCTGCTGTGTTCACTGTGTGGTGTGGCGGCGGTGTTAGCTTTACTCTGTGTTTCGCTGTGCCGCTACCTTGCTGCCCATCCGAATGCCTTGCCTTCCGTGTACCTTGCTTGTGTGTCGTGTAGCGTGGCTGATGTGTTGGTGTGGCCTTGTGCTTCGCTGCGCTGTTACTGTGCTGCTCATCCACTTGCAGTCGTTTTTGGCATTGTGCAGTCATGTTCCCTTGACAGCATTGCCTGGTGCTTCGCTGAGTTGATGCCTGCTGGTATGTTCCGTTTGTGGGCACCGGGCAGTCTGTCTTCATCAAGGGTCAAATGGTTCATGACCCAAGCCATCAATACGAGCATTCCACTGATTGCCAAAAGTTCAGCCTCGTGATGAGTCAGTGCAACTCCGACAAAACAATCTATCATCATCAGTTTTTATTACTTTTTACTAGTTTTAAGTTTTAACTTTTTATTTTATTTAAATTATTTTATTTTTTTTTCAGTTTTTTTTGTTTTTGACACTTTTTGTAGTTTTCTTGTCTGCTGGATGTTCTCATTTCCTGGCTTATGTGCTTGTGCGTTGTCTGGCCTTTCGCCTCCCTCGTGCCCTCCAGCCAATGCTTTGTCTCAATTTTTTTGCTTCCCCCACGTGCCCTCCAGTCTATGTGCCCTGTTGTGGCTTGTCATCCAATTGCCTCCCTGCCTCTTGGCTTTGGAAAGGTGTCTTTCTTTTGCCCCTTCTTCTGTGTTTGTTTGTGATGTACTGTTGTGTGTGTTCTGGGTCATACCCCAGCTGCATTCGAGGCAATGATGCTCCGGCATAGTTTTTTTCCTACCTTCCAGAGATGGATGTGTCTGTAGCTGCGTCGTTGGTAGAGTACACTACGCCTGCTATGAGTGACCACGGTGTGCCAATGTTTCTCAGCGTTGGAGCTTGCCTGGCATAGTGTTCATGCCATGGCATGCCTGCATGCACACGCCCTCAAAACACACACACACACACACACACACACACACACACACACACACACACACACACACACACACACACACACACATTCTACTATATTGCCCACCTAATATACTTTTTTGAAGTTTTTTTTTGTTTTATGGATGGTCTGTGATGGTTTGTGAATGGAATGAGAGAGAGAGCTTAGGGTGTTTTTACACACACACACACACACACACACACACACACACACACAC